GATATAAATATAAATATAAATATATATATATATATATATATATATATATATATATATATATATATATATATATATATATATATATATATATATATATATATATATATATAGATATATATATATATATATAGATATATATATATATAGATATATGCCTACTATTGCCAGATATAAGATCTAGTTTCAGTCAATCAGATTGTTAGATTCATACCAGCCATGTTACAGCGTATATATATATATATATATATATATATATATATATATATATATATATCTAGATCTTATATCTGGCAATAGTAGGCATGTGAAATTAGCTTAAATATCTAACTGAATCGAGATCGCACGACTGTGAGCCATAATGATAGTGATTGCGGATGAATGATCAAATGCCCAAAACAAGGATACCTGGTAAAAGTAGTAATATCAATTATAATTTAATTATTAATAACAGTGGTGATATTTTGCGAGAAAGTTTCACGTGACAAACATGCGCGTTCATCGAACCATAGTGTTCGAATCAAACACGTGACGTCTTCGACGCGTTTTTCCCTGTCTGTCACTTGGGCTGTCGCCCGACCCCCCGGGCCACCAGACCTAATGTGTTCTCGTGGTTTCAAATAGACGAAATCAAAGAATTGTATTAGTAAATTCGTTTTGTTAAAAGCTAATTTATTGTGTACATTTTTTTAAGATTACACGTAACTACTGAATATTACAATGATAAGTCGCTGAATCATATATAGTTTACTGAAATCAATCATCACAGACAAATAAGATTCTTACTAATGTGTATTATGCGTGTTGGTACCGGTATAAATATAATATTAATGTTGAAACCAGATTGCGCACAGCGTTGGAAAATCTATTTTGAACCTGACCCGGCAAGCAAATCTCATCTAATTGACCCAGAACTTGGGATGCAATGATAGGAGGCTTAATCATTAGTTATCTCTTACCAAATAAACAAAGGATATGTTATTGAATATGGAAGTAGGTCTTGTACACTGTGCTATACTTTATAAGAATGTACGATGTTGTTTGGGGGGGGGTAATATCACGTGCACGCGCATAGGCAAAAAACAATAATGGGTTTACCCCAACTGTAAATATATAATGGGGTTTTCCAAAAACAATTGCGAAGCAACTCTATTTGAGTGAAAGATACATAGACGATTTATTTAACTCAATTTATATACCCTCAAGAAGTTTAGAATTGTGACAGTAGCGATTTTTATAGTTTGAGTTACAGGGGGACAGTACTTTGTATCGAGAATGTAATTGAGTTGCGGCATGTGATGAGGTTCTGGGATGATATCAATAAACACAGACACAGGTTTTAAATATGAAACACACATGATATGTGGATGAGGTTGAAAGTACTAAATACACGGCACGTGCAAGCTGATATAACCTCTATATCCTATATCCTCAGTGTTTCAAATTAAGAATGTTATTGTCTAATGAGATTCGTTTGTTCACTAATTATACGATGGGATGGATTGAATAATAATAATGAATTCATGCAACTTATTCATCGCCACTAAACTACTAATTAATATGGCTGGTAAATTAACTTATTCCTGGCTCCTAGCAAATATGACCAAACACATTTTGCGTTTGGTGACTTTTAGCAGACATTTCAAGGTTATGGTATAGATCACAGTTTAATTCTTATCTTCGTGACACATTGTCTGTTTCCAGTAACGCATTGTGTCTCATAAGATTAATTATCGGCGGTGCATTTGAATCTATGCCAGTTAGTGGCATTTCAGTTTACTGAGCTAATTTGTCCGTTTTCGTCCGCAAAAGCTTTCTTCTACTGTGGG